TTCATTTRGTACAAGACTTCTGTGTTGTAGAAGCCCCTTCAAACCCAAATGGCAACTTTTTACCTTTAGGTATTTAACCTTTGGGGTAATAGAAAAGTGGAAGAGCTCCATTCCCACCAAATTTTCAGCTGTAGCAAAGTTGTGAGCCTGGTTGTTWGTCACAGAATGTTCCCTGGTACTTTGCAAAACTTGACATAATTGACACCTGTAATTTTGCCAAATTTTAGCTTGAGTAACAACTGTCTGTCTGCCTAGCTGCCTTGAGCAGCTCCAGTAATTTAAATAGATCCAGCACACTTCTGTATTGGCTGCTTCATGAGCTTCATAGTTCTGCAGTGYTCTCTGTGCAGTATGGGATGTATATAACTCTGTTGGCACTGTGTTTTCCAGCCATAAGCAARGCAAGAGTTAATTCTTATTTTTGTTGAAGTACTAAGTGGGAAGCTAGGTCATGCATAAATCCTCATTGTGCTAGGTGCTGTACAAGCAACGAATAAAAATGATCCCAGGCTCAAGGATTCTCCGTTAGTAGCTTGTGTCATAATTAAATTTTGTTAGGACACTTTAGAATTTCCCTTCCTCATAAATGAAATATCCATATACATTTATATCTCTATAATAAAAGACAAAATCTGTACACTTTTATTGTGGATGATAAAAAAGAAAATATAATACTATTTTCCAAGTAACTTGAATATAGCAATTGGAATATGTGAGGGTGAGGGAAAAGAACCATTTCTTATATACTTCGGGTTATATACACCTAAAGTTGTCCACTTTTAGTTGTTACACCTAAAGAAAGGAAGAAATATTTGTTGTGAAAACAGTCTCACACAGAGCACACTGAATTCAGGTGGAAAGCAGAAAGCAAGAGCTGGTGCCCTTTTAAGATTCAAATATTGTGCCTTCATGAATAAAGCTCTGACAGTAAAGATAAGAGAAGAAAATACAGCAACCATGTGATATATTAGCAGAATGTTTTACAAAGTCCCCCACAAAGCATCCGCTGCGCTTGAAAAGCCTAACCAGCCCAAGTGAGAAACTATTCACAAATTTAGTATTCAGATTACATACTCTGCCTTTTCAACTGCTCTCTGTACAATGAATGCCTGTACGACTACAGTAACAGACACAGATCTACAGTTTCTGTGGCCTTTGAGCTATTATGAGTATTATGCCTCTCCATAAATTACATCTGCATGTCCTGAAAATACCAACTGTTTTAACAGGAATAATCTAAAGGCTTTTATCTTGGTGATATAGAAGGGATACAGTATGTTGCGYCCCTTTTAAAATTAATAGAGTATGAGCTGAAGGTATTCAAGGTTGTTCATTATTTTCTTTATAGGTCTATTAATTGATACATATAAGCATAAAACAGTGCTTTATTATAGGGAAAAGGAGGAGATGGAATAACAAATAGATTAGTGCTTATATGTGTTTTAGATTGCCCAATGCACAGTTAAGTAAAGAAAGCTCTGTGTTTGTCCTCTTCAAAGTATATTGGGACTGGATCCAGTTTGCCTTCAAAGTGCCCCTTCTGTGGAAAGGGAAGGCTCAGTCTAACAGCGAGAGAGCTGATGCAGGGGTCTGCTACTCTGCCGTGTTCACTGCTGTCCCAGGCAACACTGTGGCACATAAGTCTTTTTTAATTTGCTGAGTATGAAYTAAGTCTTGAGCTTAGGCTGTGCTGAGCTACAATTTCTGTGAATACCTAATAGAAGGGTTTGGGAGTGAACTAGAGCACCTTGACMTTATATAGGCATATAAAAAAGGGGAATTAGAAACTTTAAACCAGAATTCACATTAAAAGCATGATGGCTGTTTTGAATTGGTATTCTCATGCATGTGCATATGCACACATCTATATGGGTTAAATGTTTAAATATTTAGCTGGAAACAGGCTGAGCCCATCAAACCTATCAAAGCACATTGCTGTCAAAYGATGAGGAATTAAACTCCTGCGAGACCGGGGAGTTCTGTTATCTCCAGCACACAGGAGGGGAACTGAAGCTCAGGGAGACTGAGCAAGTGCCAAGGAGGACATCACAGCTCTCGAGTAGGTGGCTGTTGGCACAACCTGTGATCCCTGGGACAGCTGGACTTCCRTGGCAGGACACTGTCCCAGGGCAGGCAGGGCTGAGCTCCTGTGGGTGGCAATGGAAAGAGGCTCCCAGGAGCTCCAGGAATGGTTTTTTCAGARGTGTGCCAGAGTGACCCTTATAATGTGGCAGAATTCCCTGGCAAAGCYGAGAATTGCTCTTGGGACACTGCTCAGCATTGCATGGAAAAGCTCTCATTGCACGGATTGCTGCATTTTAGAAATGCAGAACTGAAACACAGGGCAATAATGACAGCCAAAATTACACAGAGAACCTCCAGTCATGTTTGGATGTGAATCCTGCTCTCCTGATCCCCAAGCTTCCACTTGGCCCTCAAGAACACCACAGTGGTTCTGCTGACTTGAGTGATGTAAATCACTGTGGAGCTCCTGCTAGAACCCAGAGTTGAGTTCTGCCTTTAAACCAGTGATTCAGCCCAATGTTGCTGTAGTGAGGATGTGCTCATCCCTGCAGCCCTTGGACTTAGCAAGCTCATTTACAAAGGCAAGTCCTGTCACTTTRTTCCCTGCCCCTTACTATTCCCTTGGTCACTCCTCCTTGTTTTCACAGCTTCATTTGGTTTCGAAAGCTTGTGGAGCAGCAGGATTAAAAAATCAGAAAATATTTACTGTAGAGGATGGGTCTGGCTTTTCCCATCAGCTTCCATGGCTCAAGCAGGTTCCCAGCAGCTTTGGGAGAAAAGCTGTTAGCTATTAAGTTATTACCTGTAAGGAGAGCCAGCTGGAAGCTTTCAGTTTTCAACATTTTGATGAAAAGCACCATAAAAATCTTGACAACAAGACTTGTAGTATTTCAATGACATGTTTTGCATTTGTCCCTGCTTTTTAATGGTCTGTAAAAGTGATCAAAGGCTTCAAAATGCTGCCGAGACCCACATCTCAGCAATTTTGACCCCCCAAAATGAAGGGGGGAAGGCAAAACTCAAAGTGAGTGCTGTTGAGTGAGTTCATTTGGACAGCTTTTGGGAAGTCACTTTCCATCTGGAGGAGAGTGTCCACAAGGAGAGTTATTCCAGCATAAACGGTTACGGTATAATTACCCAGCTCCAGCTATGCCAGTCTATTTTCTGGTGTAGGCAAGCCAAGTCTAGTTGTTGAAATGTAGGCGTGGGAAACATGAAGTCTGCTTTCTAGGCTCAGCTCTGAGTGTTCTCTGTGGCCAGTCCCCTAACCTTTCTGCATCCTTCCTATGCAAAATGAGAAGAGTTAAGTTAAACCTACTTCACAGATGTGGCATTATGACTAATTGGCTCAAATTTGTGGTCCTGGGTAGAGAGTTGTCAATTAACTTCAGTGTTTTGGGCTGGCTGAATCATTTAGTGTCCTTTCCAAAGTGGGGTTTCTCTCCCTCTCTCAGGGTTGGGTGGCTCTGCTGCTACAAAGCAGAATCTTATTTGGTGTGAMGTGGTGGTGCTAATAAAACCCAGGACTTACCTTGTTTCTAACAACACTGKTGTGCTTACGTGTAGTGAGAGCAAGAGTTAAGGCTTTTGCTTCAGGATCTTGTAGTTAAAATTTTGCCTCCAAGCAAKTTTTTTCTGGTACCTAGAGCCTTAGATACACAAAGAATGTGGGTATGTAGTGATGGAGRTACTTCCACCAGCGCACATTTGAAACTCAGTGGGAAAATGCACATTACTCCCCTTTGGTACCAATGAAAATCAAGGACAACTCTTCTGATATTCCCATCAGTCGCTTTGTTGGGTCAAAAGCCTCAAGGGTGCATGGGCAGCCTGCATTCCAATGCTTCCTGGTATTTGTGTGCTTAACTTTGCAAACTGAAATTTCATAACGTCTGTGCATATCGTGCATACGATAGACACAGCCTGGGCTTCCTAATGGGCTGTAAACTCTGGTGCCCAATGATGGCATTACCAGGGTCACCAGCGCTCAGCAGTTCAAAGAGAAGAAAGCAGGACGATGCTGTCGCACCTGATCCAGGACCTGTGGAAAGCAGGGAAAACTGTGAGGAAGCACGTCAAACACTCACCCTGTCAGTTGTGGGGATTTTGGGTCCCTGSTCGGGTCTGTGGGGATGGTTCCTCGCTGTGGGGGTGTCCCCTCGCTGTGGGAAATACTCGAGGCTGCTCCTTCAGCCTTGGCTGCGGGGCAGCGCGAGGATTTCCCTCAGGACAATAATGCTGCTTTTTCCACTTTTCCCTGCACACCGACTTCTCAGGAGCGGTGGGGAGGGGGAATGCYACATTGAGATTTTGCTTGTACCCGGGCTGTCTCTAAGCGTAAACGGACCAGAAACTCCGCTCATATCRGCCGTGAATGTTTAATTAAGTAACAAGCTCGGCCGCCCCTCAGTCGGTTATAAATAGAAGTGCTGAATCATGACTCCRGCAGCACCTCGGCCCGCCCTGCGGGAGCCCCTGGGCGGCGGCCGGAGGGGTGTGAGGGGTGCCCGGAGCGGAGCCGCCCTCAGGGGCCGCGGCCGTGCCCTCAGGGCGCGCGCGCCCGCCCGCGTGAGGCGCGGGGCGCGCATTGTGGCGGCGGCGGCGGCCGCACTTGTCCTGTAATCGATTGCCGAGCGCGCTGAGCGGCCTCGCGCCGGCAGCGGGCACCCGCCCCCCGCCGCGCCGGCCCCGCGGGGACTGAGGCGCTGCGGGGCGGGAAAGAGTGTGAGGGAGGGGGGGCGCGAGTGTGAGTGCGAGGGACCGTGTGTGGGACTGGGTGTGAGTGTGTGTGTGTGCGGGTGAGGATGCGAGTGAGGGAGACACTGTGTCCGTGTGAGGGACTTTGAGGGAGGAACTGAGTGTGAGGGAGCGAATTGAGTGTGTGTGTGTGTGAGAGAGAGAGGACCGAGTGTGAGGGAGGGAGTGAGAATGTGTGTGTGAGGGGCTGACTGTGACTGAGGGAGAGACAGTGTGCGTGTGAGGGAGGAACTGAGTGTGAGGGAGGGAGTGAATGAGTGTGTGTGTGTGTGGGTTTGAGCTTGAGGGAGGGAGAGTGTGTGTGAAGGAGGAAGTGTGTATGTGTGTGCGGGAGGGAGAGTGTGTGTGTGTGAGGGAGTGCCTGTATCTGTGAGGGAGGCAGTGTGTGTGTGTGTGTGTGAGGGAGGGAGTGCGAGTATCTGTGCGTGAGGAAGGGAAGGGAGTGTGTGCGAAGGAGGGAGCGAATGAGTGTGTGCCTGGGTGTCTCTGGGAGGGAGGGAGAGCGGCCGCCGCCGCCGCCGCCGGATCGGTTTCTCGGGGTTTGACCAGCTGTCCCAGGCTAACCCTCTGCTCTCTGAAGATGGAGGAAGTAAAAACAGGATTACCCTTAGCTACGGCTCCTCCGCCGCCTTAGTCCCCCCACAGCCAACTGCCGTGCACAAACACACCTCCACTGGGCAGAGGGAGCCGACACTAATAAACACACAAACAAAAGGGGGATGGAACTGACTCACTGCCTGCGCGGCTGAGGTAAATCTGCGCCTGGCTTCTTATTATTTCTTTCTTTTTCTTTCTCCCTTCCCCTCCTCCCCTCCTCTCCTTCCCCGGTCCCTCTTTCCCCAGCGGGAGGGACAGCTCCGTCCGGGGCCGGGGGGACGCGGGGCTCGGTCCGTCCGTGTGGGTCTGTGTGTGCGGAGGGTCCCCGAGCCGAGCGCGGCTGTGCAGCATCCCCGCGGGCGCCGATGACTTGTTGCTGTTAGCCCAAAAAATAAAAATAAAAAAAAA